GTGTGGCCCAAGCTCTGAGCACCTATGCACTGTCTCTCCCTTCACCCCATCTGCACGGCTCTTCATGTGCTTTCTAGAACCTGCCACGCTGGGTCTCTCTACCTCAGGGCTTCCAAACTTGCTGTTCTCAATGGCTGGAAAACTCTCCCATCAAATGCTCTCACCGCTCACTCCTTCACTCCATTCATGTATCACTCAGGTACCACCTGCTTACAACCGCCTTCCCTATGCGCCCTGCCTACAATAGCACCCCTGCAGCCTGGCACCACGTAACCCTTTATTCTAGTTTCATTTTCTTCAAAGCACCCAGTTATATTATACTCTCATATTTTGCTGGGTTTTTTTTTTTTATCTCTTTCCCCCTCCACCTCCCCCCCAACCCCAGCCCTGCACATTCATACATCCCCCTGAAGACAGGGATCCTCCTGTTTACCATGGTCTCCCAAGCTGTTAGAACAGTGCCTGGTCCACAGGATGAAGTGTTATTCCTTCCAAGCCAAGATGACCCATCTGACTCACTGTCAGAACGTACACTTGCTGTTTCCAGTAAAGGGTGAGGCTGGGAGAGCGCCTATTCATTGTTATCAAGAGGCCACTATTAGTGGCAGTGCAGGAATGAACACCGTGCCAGTTTCCTTGTGCGAGACCCTCTGCAGGGTTCTCTGCGTGCGTTAGATCACGTGCTCCTGACAACCACCTAATGCACTCAGCACTGTCTTCCAGGTGAGGAAACCAGGGCTCGGAGACGGAACTCTGTTTCCCAAGCTCACTGAACTAACCCTGGACTTAAACTCAGATCTGTTTGACCCTAAGCTCAGCCACAAAGAAGCTTTTTCCTGGGACTAGACGAGAGTGATTGCCCTATGATCCAGCAAGTCCACTTCTGGGTATTTACCCAAAGAAAACAAAAAGACTAACTCCAGTAGCTATCTGCACCCCCACGGTCACTGCAGCATTATTCACAATAGCCAAGACGTGGAGAAAACCTAAGTGTCCACTGCTGGATGAATAAAGAAAGAAAATGTGGTCTATACAATGGAATATTAGTCAGCCTTAAAAAGGAAGGAAATCTTACCATTTGTGACAACACGGGTCAACCCTGACGGCATTATGCTAAGTGGAATTAGTCAGACAGAAAGACAAACACTGTGTGATCTCACTTATATGTGGAATCAGAAAACAAACAAAATCTGAGCTCATGAATACAAAGAACGGATTGGTGATTTCGGGGTGGGGGCAGGTTAGGGGTGTAGAAATGGTTGAAGGGGATCAAAAGGTACAATCCTCCAGTTATAAAATAAATAGGTCGCGTGGATGTGACATCATGTACAGAATGGCCACTACAGTTAATAATGCTGGACTGCATATCTGAGAGTTGCTGAGAGTAAATCTTAAAAGTTCTCATCAGAAGAAAAAAAAAAAACGATAACTATGTGTGGTCATGGATGCTAAACTAGACTTACTGTAGTGACTGTTTTGCAATATATACAAATATCAAATCACACACCTGAAATAAATATGTCATATGTTAATTATACCACAATTAAAAAAAAAAACAAAAACAAAAACAACAACCTGGAGCTATTGCCTCATTCCTACTAAAACCTCCCCGTCCTCTGTATCTGCATCAGGGGCACCAGCCTACCCAGGGAAGGGCCTTTTTCCACCTTTTCTCCCACAACAGTGAGACTGCTGGAGGAGTTAATGAGGCTTGTCCAATCTCACACCCAAGCTTCCCACCAAATCATCAAAGCCTTTGAGGGGCAGAGGGGAGGAGAAGACGGAGGGACAGGAAGGGAGATAGTCGCAGGGTCAGGCGCTGAGGTTCAACAATCTCCTTTCTAAGGACTGTCTGCCAGATACGGAGAGGCAGCGAGGGGCTAGCTCAGACCCTCCACCCTTCCCCCTGAACCCGATAGGCATCTCCAGAAGTTATCTCAGCCAGAGAAGGAAACCGTCAGCCCAGTGAGTGCAGCTGGACCCCCGAGACCCAGGCAGCATAAAACAATGGGACGTGGTTTCCGGGAGGGGACCGCAGCAAGGTGGGAGGCAGGGCCCCAGGCTGGACAGCTGAAGGCAGAAACTCAGCGCGCTAGCAGGGTGACCAGCAGGCAGAGAGATTCCATCCCCCGGACCCCAGCTGTTGACTCACTGTATGTCTCATGGGACAAGTCACTTCCACTGGGGCACCTTTGTCTCAACCGGACAGAGCCATCCCACACCCACCCTCAAGGGCTCTCAGGAGGTGGGCAAGGGAAGGGAAGGAAGGATGGCTCAGAATGAGAGAGCCTTTGAGGAAATACGTGGTTTCTCAGCCTTAGTAAGTCTCCTGTGCGCAGGGCTCTCGGGGAACTTTGTAAATATCATCTCAGCTTCACCTTCACCGCACCCTATGAAGTAGGCACTTTTCTTGTTCTCACTTTACAGATGAGGAAACTAAAGCTCAGAGGAGTCAAATAACTCGCCCCAGTCACGTCTACGCTGCGTGTCTAAAGGAAAAGGAAAATGAGTTCATTTCTCTCTTTTTACATCCTTTCCCTTCACCATCAACACAACCAGGGGCCCAGAGCTCTCCGGGACCGTCCCATGGGGATGAGGCTATTAGTGTTGGCTAGGAGGACCACTTCTGGCCTGGCTGGCCCACGTACAGCATGGCACACTGGCAAACATATGGACATGTGGGAGCCGTGTTGGCGTTTCCAGGCCTGATTACACACTTCCTGCTTTACGCAATCTTCCCTTTCTGGAGACACTGGACACGGCCATGTCACTGCCCACAGCTCACTACGTGGGGGAGGGCCGGCTGGGGACATGGAGATTGGAACTCCAGGCTCCATTCTGCTGCTTACCAGCAGCTTGGCCTCTCCTCCCACTTAGGGGGCCTCAAAGCCTTTCAATGATCTAGAAACACCCCCCCCTTCTCCCTGCCACTGTGTGTAAAGCACCTGGTTCTGAGTTGGTAAATGGGCAGTAAAAACGATGCTCTTCAGAATATGAGGAAGGACTCATGATGTCAGCATGGCGTCAGCATAGTCCTGCTGGGGACACTGAGGCAGAAGTTGTCCTGCCAGCAGGCCTCATCCTGCAGCATGAGCTGACACAGGCTCCCCTGAAACAGAGTCCAGCATTGAATCTGGCATAACACATCGTGCCAGGGTCCAATCTATCCAAACACCAGTTTACGTCATCCAGTTTCTTTCCCTCTCTGGTACAATCTCCTCGACCATGCAGATAGTATATCTGAAGCTCATAAAGCCCAGAATCCAGCTTATTGGCCAAAGAGGCTCAGGAAACAAACAGAAACCTCGAGGACTGTTAACAGCACAAGGAACAAAACCACCATCCTTGGAAGACACCACCACCTTCAGAGCACCATCTCTGAAGAGCCCGTACGGACCAGTCCAGGGTAGCTGCTGAGAGTTCAAGCTTGAACGGCATCCAGATCAAAGATCCAGTTGATTTTGCTAGGTGTGACCCCCCCGGTACCCCAGCAGACCCTTTGAGGTTCCTGTCAACTCTATTTTTGTCCCCGTGTCTGGGAAAACTGACTAAATTTCCTTTTACTTGGAACCAAGCCCAACTCTGGAGTTGGGTGGATGCAGCCACACTTCCGCACCCAAGTTTCCGTAGGTTTGAAAACAACGCTGGGTGTTGCAGAGAACAGCTGTGCTAATAAGCACAGTCCTTATCTGTCCGAGCCGAGTCCTCCCGGGGTGTCCCGGAGAGCCAGGACAGTGACTGTAGGGCAGCCAGCCCCACCCAATGGGGCCAGAGTTACAAAGAGGCCGGTTCATCAGATAAGGCGCCTCAGAGAAAACCCTTAGGAGGGGCCAGAAGAGTGCGTTCACCAGCATGAGGGGCTCTGCCCCCAACACTGCCTCCAGACCATCTTCCAGAAAGACTGGCCTGGTGATCCTCATGCCATCTGACTCATCTCCTTCCTCATCATTGTCAACATCCATGTCCGAACTGGCACGGGTTGGACACGGTGGGCACCACACTGTTTGTCTCTTTGAGCACAGGTTCTAGCTTTCTCCTTCACTCTGTAATCACCTACGAGCCCCAAGAGGACGGCCACCTATGTGTGCAGTCATCTGTACAGACTCTCCCCATACTGTCCAGGGCGGGACAAGCAAATCCACGCTGGCCCCTGTCAACGTTGGGGCCTGTCTGCATCTGTCCCACTGCCTCGGTGGTCCTTGACCCTGGCTGCACGCCACAGGCATCTGGACAGCCTTAGAAATCACCCCTGCTCACCCCCGCAGGTTCTGATTTAACTGGCCTAAAGGAGGACTCGGGCCTTGGTGTTTTTCCCATGTGCAGCCAGGACTGAGGATCTCCGCCCTGGAGTGTGGACACCAACGTAGAGCCAGAGATTGCGAACTCAAGGGCTGGGAGGTTGAAACCGGTGACCCAGGAGACAGCTGGGAGAACCCTCAGGCAGCCATCTTTAGAGAAGCAAAGACTTCAACACAGTACGTCATCGGACTGGCACGGCTGGCTTGGGGAATTTATTTATTTATTTATTTATTT